GCCCTGCCCCTCCATAGCTGCAGTCTGTTATATCCTGCCCTCTGTCACGACTGCAGCTTCAGTTATGGGTGATCATATGCCCTCTTCTGGCCTCCTCAGGCACTGCATGAATGTGGTCCACATTCAAGCAGAACACTCATGCATGTAAGAAAGTAAAATACACAGCCAGGGCTATGCAGAGAAACCCTGTCTTTAAAAAATAAAACAAAAGAATGGAGAAGTAGGAGGAGGAGAAGGAGAGGTAGAGGAAGAATAAGGAGAAGAATAGGAAAGTAAAATATAGAAAGAGAAAAGTTTTAAGTCAACAAATCAAAACTTCGGAGTTGAAAAATACAATATCTGTAATGAAAACTTTGATAGGAATGTTAACAGATTAGGAAGATAGACAAAAAATCAGTGAGCTTCCCCAGGCAGTGGTGACGCAGGCCTTTAATCCCAGCACTCAGGAGGTAGAGACAGGCAGATCTCTGTGAGTTCGAGACCAGCATGGTCTACAAGAGCTAGTTCTAGGACAGTCTCCAAAGCCACAGAGAAACCCTGTCTCAAACCACCACCACCCCAAAAAAGAAAAAAAATCAGTAAGTTTAAAAATAGGTCAATGAAATTATTCAATTTAAGGAACACATAGAAAAAAAGAATAAAGGGAAGCAAGCCTTTAATATCTATGAAACAAAACTAAGCAAACATAAATAATAGAAGTTCTAGAAACACACGCAAGAAAGGGTAAGAAATGTGCAAAGTCCTGGGTTGGATACCCTAGCACTAGAAGGAAGGAGAAGACGAGGAGGAGAAAAAGGAAGATGAAATGACTGAAAGCTCCCCAAATTTGATGAGAGAACATTAACAAAAAGTTCATTAACATTAACAAAGAGATCATTGGCAAGTGCATGCCTGGCATGTGAAAGGCCTTGTTCAATCCCAGCACAAGAAAAAAGTAACCCTAGGTGGGTGGGAGGGACAATGAAAAGACCTGGATAGATCACATCCATCTTCAGATAGGCTTGGAGCTGACTAATCAGAAGCCATGCCACTCAGAAAGCACTTGTGATATAATCCAAGTGCTGGAGGGAAATTATACACCCAGAAAAACTGCCTATCAAAAATGAAGGAGACAAGGTGCATTGCTGTAACCCAACAATGAAGAGACAAAGGCAGGAAGACCATGAATTTGGACTAGACAGCAAGTTTGAGGAACCCTGGAGGATGGCACAGCTAAAGCCAGACACTAATAAAGGGGGCACACACCTTTGATTCCAGCTCTGAGGAAGAAAGGACAGGTGAATATTTGAATGTTCAAAGCCAGTCTGGTCTACTTAGTGAGTTCCAGGACAGTGGGGACTACATGAGACTCTGTCTCAAACAAAACCCTGAAGGAGACCTCAAAACATCCTTAGGTAAAGACTGAGAAAATGCATCACCAGAAAATATGTCCTAAAATTCCTCAAGGTTCCTCCAGGTTGATATAAAGAAAACTAAGGGGTAACTCAGATCTACTTGAAATAGAGAACATGCCAGCTCACAACATCTGTAACTCCAGTCCCAGGAGAACCAACACTCTCTTCAGCTCTCTTGGAGACTGCCCACACATGGTGTAAAACATACATGCAGGTAAAGCACTCATACACATAAAATTATATACATTGCAAAAATAATTTTTATGTTCAAAAGAGCATGTGTATGTGCACACACATACACATGGACCCACACACATGCAAAAACAGATACACACACACATGAAAGTGGAATAATAAAAATTAAGATGAATAAATGTAAAAGATGAGAGAAACCTTATGCTCTGCATGGAGATAATAAGAAAGGGGCTCTCAGGGCAGTATCCCAGCCATGGAGGAGCCTATCTTGTGAAAACAAAATTCATCTGGAAGGAGAGACCCTGAACTAAGAATGCCACTGAAGAGGTTCTTTGCTGGAAAATAACTGCCTAAGGATGTTTTTCTGAGTTCAATTCCAACGGCTGTGGTGTAGTGGGCTTGGCTGCGTATCAGATAGCAGAATCAGCACTAAGGAGACTAACTGATGCGAGTTTGGAAAAAAGAGAGCCTGTTGGTGGAGCTGAAGTGGAAGTGGTTAACTGAAGAACAAGACAGACGTACTAGGTCTCTGCAAGAAAGGGGCAAGCCAGAAGGCTCAGTGCGTGAAAGTGCTGGCTGCCAAAACTAACAACCTGAGTTCAATACCTGGGATCCTTGTTGTAGAAAGAAAGGACCAAATTCCTGCAAACTGTCGTCTTAACTCGACACGTGCCATGGCATTTGTGCCCATACACATACAAAATAAATGAATAAATGTAATTAGATATCACTAATTTCAAAGATAGATGAGTAAAAGTTAGTGACGATACGTGGGCAAAGGCTACTGTTTTTACAGTGAATGGAGAGAGAAGCCAACAAGTTGGGCAAAATTACAAGGCTGAGGTAGAGTATGGCACGGGAAGCTGCATCTCTGGAGGATGCCCCGGCCTCTACAGATAGCGCATCTATGTGATTTCCATTGTGCGTAGCTGGCAGGCTCATAAATAGGCTAGTTAAACAGGATCACACAAAGAAACTGTCGACTGGTTTTCAAGGCGGTCTGGTGCAAGCCAGAGAAGTCAAGGAGATTCAGGCAGAGAAATGTGGGAGCCGGGGACACTGCAGGGGCAGAGGAACTGTGGGAGCTGGGGACACTGCAGGACAGAAATGTGGGAGCCGGGGACACTGCATGGGCAGAGAAATGTGGGAGCCGCGACACTGCAAGGGCAGGGAACTGTGGGAGCCGTGATACTGCAGGGGCAAGGAACTGTGGGAGCCGCAACACTGCAGGGGCAGAGAAATGTGGGAGCCGGGGACACTGCAGGGGCAGAGAAATGTGGGAGCCGGGGACACTGCAGGGGCAGAGAAATGTGGGAGCCGGGGTCACTGCAGGGGCAGAGAACTGTGGGAGCCGGGGACACTGCAGGGGCAGGGAACTGTGGGAGCCGGGGTCACTGCTGGGGCAGAGAAATGTGGGAGCCGGGGTCACTGCAGGGGCAGAGAAATGTGGGAGCCGGGGACACTGCAGGGGCAGGGAAATGTGGGAGCCGCGACACTGCAGGGGCAGAGAAATGTGGGAGCCGCGTCACTGCAGGGGCAGCATCTCACCTAACCTCCCTAACCAGAGGGTCAGTTTCTACCCTTGCTTCATCCTATCCTCCCAGCAGAGAACTTGCTACAAGCTGCCTTCCCCAGGAATCTTTTCTAGACAGCTAAAAAGACCAGAAGTGCCTGCTGCAGACAGGGGCAGAATGGGGTCAGGAAGGCCTCCCAAGTCCGAGGAGTCAGTCGCATCCTCCCATTACTAATGTATGACGCTTTTATTCTTTGTGCCAGAGATTTCTGAAAGAAATTCTCTGGGCTATTCGCCTTCCACCCCTGATCTCAATCCAACTCTGCACTAGGGCTCTAGCCCGGCAGGGGTCATGCTAGGAAAAAAGAGATTAGCGAATCCTAGCCTCCATCTCCACACCAGCCACCGCAAAACCAAGCAAAAGCAGTAGAGAAGCTGTTTGTCTTTTGTGGGAGGCTCTGGGGGACTGGAGTGGCCAATGACAACTAATGAGCTTGGTCACACGATAACACAGTATGTTTTAAAGTACTTTCTTGTCCATTAACCCATGTGCTCTTCATCAGCTGTGAGAGATACAGGCCAAAAGTATCTCAAGGAGGGGCCTGAGCCTCAGGGAAGTTCAATCATTTTGTCCAAAATCAAGACTCAGAGAGCCGGTTGTGGGACATTTGGGTTACTGTGTCACACTGCCACCTGGTGGGCATTAATCAGCAACACAGTTTTTCCATTTTCAGGACTAAGCAGGACCAGAAGGCTGGTGTTCCAGATGCTGGTTTCTTCCTTTAGTTCCCTCACTGTGAAGTGTTTTGCTGACAGAAGTGAGCTCTAGCAATAAATATTTTCAAAGACTGAGAGCTCTGTAAAAAGGGAATTTGGTTAACCCTTGAGAGCTCTGAGCAGAGCAAATAGCCTATTAGTAATAAATGTCTATTTGCTGTGTTTCTCTTTGCACTAATGCTGAGGGAAAAGAAATGTGAGAGATGACAGAAAGTGTTTCACCAAGGTATAGTGACTCTCAGTGTTGTGCAGGGATAAAATTATCGATCAAAAGGGCCAAGACCAAGGTAACCAAGAAGCCCTTCAGAGGGCAACATCTGATATATCTGCCATATGTGAACAGTTATGGATCTAGGAATTCAAAAAGGCCTTCAACATGTCCAAAGCAGATGGTTTCATTGATAGGGAAGATTCACATGATATTCTGGCCTCAATGGATAAAAAACTCAGCTGATAAACATCTGGACACTGTGATGAATGAAGCTATAGTCCCATTGATTTCACCATTTTTCTCAGCATGTTAGTTAAAAGCTGAATAGCATAGATCCTGAAAATGACATCAGAAATGCGTTATCTTGCTTTGATAGAGATTGGTGAGCTGGGGGTGCTGGTGCATATCTTTAGTCGAAGCACTCAGAAGACAGAGGCAGGTGGATCTCTGTGAGTTTGAGGTCAGTTTGGTCTACAAAGTGAGTTCCAGGACAGCCAGGACTATGAAGAGAGATCCTGTCTCCCAGCACTTGGGAGTTCAGTAGGTGGATCTCTGTCAGTCTGAGGACAGCCTGGTCTAGCTAGTGAATTCCAGGACAGTCAGAGCTATGAAGAGAAACCCTGTCTCAAAACAAGAAACAAAAACAAAAAAGAAACAAACAAAAACCCAGGTTTCACAGACAGGAAATGAAAACTAGAGTCTGGATGGCATAGTTCAATGTTAAAATGCACGTCCTAAAGCACACATAGCTCTGACCCTGTCAGTCAAGACAAGGGCAGCACTGAGATGTCACTGTATGAGATGGGTGGACTAATAGAGGTAACATTTTAGTCCTAAGCTCCAGGAGAAGGCTCTGGGATCCATGTGGGGGTTGGGAGTTCTGGGTTCTATGATGTAGTGATGACCTCAAGAAACTGCCACTAAGCTGAAGAAAATGGAATGGCTGCTAGACCTGCTTAGGGCTAAGGGAGATGTGGGGCTTTTCCAAGGCCAGCTGACACATGTTCTGGCCTGCAGACACTGCAGCAACAGCATCTGCCTCCAGAGTCCAGGGAATCTGGTGATACTATTCTTATTCATGGTTTGGCAGATCCAAAGATGGTGGCAGCTTGGGAAATGGCAACAGCTTCAGCCCTGGTGCTCTGGAGACATAACGATGCAAGGCAAGGTAGGTGACCACTGACCTTGGATATGGATCTGGATGAGTAACTATTGAAATGACATGTGAGGTCAAATGGAGGGTCATTGTTATGGATGTGATCCCAGATAAGTGATTATCAGTCACAGATTACTAACTGGGTGAGTACTCGGTGGCATGATTTGAAAGCAAGTGACTAATCACTGACTCTAGGGTTCATGCGGAAATGGTGATCTCTAAATAAGAACTGGGTTCTGACATTAACAATGCATGAAGCCGGGCGGTGGTGGCACACACCTTTAATCCCAGCACTTGGGAGGCAGAGGCAGGTGGATCTCAGTGAGTTCGAGACCAAGCCTGGTCTACCAAGTGAGTTCCAGGACAGGCTCCAAAACAATACAGAGAAACCCTGTCTCAGAAAAACAAAAAACAAAAACAATGCATGAAGGGTGGGTAAGTGACCACTCATCAGAGGTGTGGTGCAGGTGAGCCTGCAGGTAGAACAGAAGCTAATGAATGTATGACACATCACATGTCTCTGAGAAGCCATCATACCTCATAGCATTTTACTCTATTCCCTAGGGACTACAACTTCTCGAGTCAGAGAAGGAAGAGGAGTATGGAGAAGAGAAGGAAGAGGAGTCATTATCTCTGGGTCCACCAAAACCATATTCTCCTTCCAAAGATGCTTCCACTGGAAACCAATTCACTGCAGACCCACACCAGCCATCCTGTAGCTCTGAGGCCACAGGGATACGAGAACATCCCAAGGCCACAGGGACACGAGAACAAGTACTCCCACAACCCTCAAGTCCTTCCAGATCCTTCCCTACCTTCCAGATCCTGACCAACCTACCTGTGAGGAACAAGATAGCTTCAGGGAGTTCCCTGCAGCAGAGAAAAAGCCAGCTCTTCTGGGGTCTTCCCTCGCTACACAGTGAGTCCTTGGAGACTATTTTCCTGAGCTCAGATGGCCCTTCTCCACTAAAGTTGTCTATTTGTCCTTCTGTCTTCTTCAACAAGGTTCCCTTCCTGCCTGTGTACAACTTGTTGCTTCCCTATTATCACTCTCCAACTTACTATCCTACCCCTGAAGCCCATACTCTGAGAAATCTGGAAAGAATGCCACCTGGTTCTCAACTATTTCAATCTCCACCTTCCCCTCTTATCCCATTAGTGGTCTCCAATGTTAAGCCTTTGCTTATAGGTTGTAAGGGAATCACATCTGACACTGACACAGACACACAGTGGTTTACACAGCAGAAAGAGGTTCCTTGTGTCTCTGAGAATCAAGCCCTACACTCACATCCTGAACTCCAAAAAATCACACCTTCCTCATTCTTGTATTCATCTGAGGCCTGGAGGAAGACACCAGGGGACCCCAGCCTCCATCAACGCAATCCAGAATCACCTTCTGCCTCTCTATTGTATCCTTCCAAACCTCACAAAGTCCTAACTAGGTTTGAGGCCCCACATATAACCATGAAACAACACAAGCACCCAAAAGCATCTGAATCTGCAATGCCAACTGCAAGCCCACACCCAACCTCCCTGACAGAATACCAGAAAGAACACCTGTCGGGATTGAAAGCTCTCTGGGAAACCACAGTGCAAAAAGAGAACCCTAAGATCTACGAGCTTCCAATCTCGACCCCTTGTCAATTCACAGCACCCAGGACAGAACCTCAAGAAACTGGCCCTCCAGGAACTTCTCCTGGATACGAAGTTCAGTGGGGAATCATGCAACATAAAGACAATCCCCAAGCTTTTGATCTCCCAATGCCAGCCTCTTGTCAACCACCAGGTTCTCTGTCAGAAGTAAAAAATGTTAACCCCAAAGGAAGACTTCCTGCACTGAAGGACTTCTGGGGAAACATGGGATACAAAGAGAAACCACCTGTTTCTAAGTCTCCAGTGTCAGCCCCCTGCCCTCCTCTAGACACCCTGTCAAAACACCAGAGAGAGAGTCCCCTAGAGGATCTGTCTGGATACGAGCCTCAATTGCAGCACAGAGAAAACTCAGGCAATCTCTGGGCCTTTGAAACTCCAACCTTGGACTTCAACATGTGGCTCTATGAAACCCTCCCTGCATGTGTCCCATTGGGATCTGAGACTCCAGTGAAGGGTACACCTAGTACAGAAAATCTTTGTGTCTATGCAGACGTAGTTTCACCTCCTAGCCTTCCCTCTTTCTCTCTGCCAGACTTTGCAATGATGGGCCCCCAACGAGTCTTTTCAGAGGCTAAAGCTTTACGGGAGACAAAGCGGCAGGGAAAGAAGCTCTGGGTATCTGATTCCCCATGTCCTGCCCATGTACCGTCTCTAGACCCCTTTTTAGAACCACAAAAAATCAATACTGTGGACGACTTCCCTAGATCAGAAGCTACATGGAAGGATACTGAGCATACAAGAAAATGTTTGCCTTCTGAGTCTCAATTTCTGAACTTCAACCCATCCCCAAATCTTGTACAGCCGCCCCTCAGAGTTAGCCCTATGGAGAACCCATTTAAATCTAAAATTTGGAGTGGAGGCATTCAAAGAAAAAATAACTTCTTGGTCTCTGAGCGCCCACCTCAAAGCTTATCCCAACATCTGCTTGGAGCCAGTTCCTCAGGAGTCCTCTCTGACCCTGCTGGAGGGTATATGAAGCAAAATGAAAACTGTTGTCTTTCTGTATCCTCAGTTAGGGAATCCAGTCCACCTCCAAACTCTGTTTCAAAGGCTCATATAGGTGAGCCTTCTGGAAACCTGTGCAACTATAAACCCATGGAGTCAGCATTAGAGCAGAGAAAGGACTCCTGGGCTACTGAGCTACCAGCCCCCAGATTTCTCTCTGCTCCATCACAAGACCCACACCTTGACATTGAGTTTATATGTAGAAATGTACAAAAAAGAGAGGCCTCCCAGACCCCCATCCCTCCAGTAATGAATCCTCTGCAACCAACATCCTGGCCTCCCATTCCAGCTAAAGCCCTGAGGTCTGAGCCTAACCAGCCTGGCCTACAGAAGGAAGAGATGTTCTCAGCAGCCAAGGCAAAGGCCCCATCTTCCCAGGGTGGAGCTGTCTCAGGGCTGTGTGACCACCCTGTGAGCCATGTCTGGCAATGGAGTAGAGAATTAAAAGTCAAACTAAAGAAACTACAGCAGAGTCCCACTTTCAAATCCCCAGGCCCACATCACTCACTTGGCAGTTCCCTAGCCCTTAACTCCCCAACTCCAGAGTCTTGGGGACTCGCTTTTTCCCCACACCAGACTCAAGCTCTCAATCTGTATCTCTGCTCTTCAAATGGTGATACCCCAAATATTCCAAGGACAGAACCTCAGCCTGCCCAGGCTCCTCACTGCTCTCACTCTTCTAGTAGAGCAGAACAAGAGCCTCAAAAAAACAAGAGGATGAAATGGAAGACAGTGGTCCAAACGCCATCCCCAGAGGATGTTCATACAAAGGCTAATGAAAACTCAGGAATGGGAGAGCCCTCAAATACGCAGGTTCCAATCTCTAGCAAGAGACGTCAAGACAAGACTTTAGTATTACCTTCAGCCCAAAAGAAAGGGAGCCCCAGAAAATCCAAAGCAGAGAAATGTGGAGGAGGAACTGCAAGGTTGGGATTATCCATTTCCACAGGGAAAAACAACCCTGCCCAGACCTGCACACCAAAAGAAGCCCTTAGACACAGACTTTCTAAAAAGTCTCAGGATAGAACTCAGCAGCTTCTCCCAAATGCTGCTGGTCCCCAGGATCAACAAAGGGCAGGCCTGGTAGCTGGTGATACTCAGAATCCTCGCCATTGTAAGCCTTGTGCTTGGGCCTCCAAGGAGAAGCAGCTCACATCCTCCACACCCCAAGCTTCCCCTACCACAGGTTTTCAAAGGTTATTAGCTAAATTTCTAGGTGTCCATAGACGCCTGCCAACTAAATCCAGTCAGTAAAGTATGATAGTACTTTACCCAGTATATCACAACCCGAACCAAACCAGGTGTGGGTACAGAAATCAAGACAAATAGAGAAATCCTAATAAAATAGTTCAACTAGACAAATCCCATTTACGTCTTCTTTAATGTCTAGGTTAAAGATGCCAGTTCCCTGTTCTTCTATAGCCATATCCCCTATTGATTAGGTTCTAGAGCAATGGTTCTCAACCTGAGGGTTTGAGCAGCCCTTTGACAGGGGTTGCCTAGGACTATTGGAAAAACAGATGTTTACATTATGATTCCTAACAGTAGCAATTATGGTAATTATGATAAAGCTGCAGGGCCAGAGGAACACAGTCTGCCATTGTTTTTGAGAGACAAACACTTCACACCAAGTGGGGAAAAACGTATTCAATCACCTAAGTACCAATGACATAAACAACTGCTATTTATATTACACACAGTTCTTCTCTTCATCTACTTGACCTATACCGATTCTGTTGTTGTTCTGAGACAGGGTATTGCTATAACCAGGACTGGTCTCCAATTTATTATCCTACTGCCTCAACTTCCCAAGTTCAGGAACTCTAGGTGTATGCTACCATGTTTAATTTAGCTTCTGTATCTTTCTAATCATTTCTTCTCAACTTTACATCTCAACCCTGTTCTTCTCCCTACCCTGCTCCTCTTCTCCCAACCCTGCTCTTCTCTCTCCTTGAATTAGCTAATTTGCCCCCAAAGCCACAAAAACAAGTGTCTTCACATTTTGAAGCTGTATTCAGAATTGTGATTTGTCTTTTTGTTTTTGTTTACTGTTTGTTTAACTGGAGATTAAATCTAGGGCCTTGCAGTGCTCAGCAAGATTTCTACTACTTGGCTAAATCCCCAACCCATTTTCACATGTTTACTAGTTGCCAATTTACAGCTTGTACCCATTTTCCTGAAGCACTCTTGGTTGGGTATCGTACCAGCTTTCTCTGGTTGCTATCATGTTTGCCAAAAGTCCAACACATCTCACAGCTAAAACTGAGGGATTGACAGAGATGCAACTCCTTTCTGCCTTGTCTTCTCCCAGCTTCTAGGGGAAGCTTATACACCTTGGCTACTAACTCCCTTTCTCCATTTTCAAAGCTATCAAAGGCAAAACAGGTCTTTCTCACATTGCATCTCTCTAGCCTCTCTTGTCTCTCTCTTCCTTTGGTGGGGAGGGGCAACTGGGGATTGAACCCAGGCAGGGTCTTAAACATTCAAGGAAGATTCTTTACAACCGAGCTATATCCCTTTTTCCACTTTTAAGGATCCTTGTAATTATGTGAACCTACCTGTACATTCCTAGACATTGCCTGGTTTACCACACCCAGGGCTTTAGCACTCTTAAGTTATAGGCACAGGCTTCACATCTATCTTAAAATTCAAATGAGGGAGCCAGGTGTGGTGGTTCATACCTTTAATCCCAGCACTCCAGAGACAGAGGCAGGCAGATCTTCACAAACTCCAGGCCAGCCAGGGCTACACAGAGAAACCCTGTCTTGAAAACACAAACAAACCCATGCTGACCTCTCAGTCGTGGGGGGTGGGGCAGGAGGGGAGAGAGAGGGAGCTGGGATTGACATGTGAAGCAAGCTTTTTTCTAATTTAAAATAAAAAAAAAAAGAGTGGAAAAAGAAAATCACAGCCGGGCAATGGTGGCGCACGCCTTTAATCCCAGCACTCAGGAGGCAGAGGCAGGCGGATCTCTGTAAATTCGAGACCAGCCTGGACTACCAAGGGAGTTCCAGGACAGCCTCCAAAGCCACAGAGAAACCCTGTCTTGAAAAAACCAAAAAAAAAAAAAAGAAAATCACAAATAAAAAAATCTGATGATAGATGACCTTATTTTCTCTTTCATCCTTAATTCTCTTTTGTATGTACAGTAACTCATCCACAGATTACAAAGATTAAGGATGTAGACATCTTGCCGGGCATGATGGTGTGGTACACACCTTACTCTAAGCATTCCAAAGGCAGTGGCAGACAGATCTATGAGATCCAGGCCAGCCAAAGCTACATAATGAGATCTTGTCTCAAAACAAGACATAGAACATCTTAGAAGGCCACTATCCTACATATAAAATGTATTAATCAAATTCCATAATGAAACAAATTACTTTGCATGTCAACTTAAAAACATTAAGAGAAAAAAGGTACTAACTCAATTTCTTATAATTGCAAACATGTCCTTCTAGTTTTGTTTATAGTGACTTTACTATACCAGAGTTTTACATCTTATGTAGTTTTTAAGTCTATCAACATTCTTCTTTATAAATTTTTTTTTGAGGTGGGATCTCCTGTAAAACAGGCTGGCTTCGATCTTCCTATGCTAGGGTTACAAGCACGTATCACTCCTGATACCTTTATGACTATGACTTTTAAAGTAATTTCTGGAACATTTATAATTTGTATATTTGTTGGTAAACATTTTAGCATGAGATTTAGTAAGAGTCTAATTCCCCCAAAATAATGCCTAATTTCACCAATACCGTACTCTGAGTCCACTCCACTAAATAGGCCATAATGCAAAATATGGGGCATTTTCAAGCATCTCTACACCTGATTCATATGATCTCATTTTATGAAAAACTTACTTTTCCCATTAACCTATTTTTTTTCTTTTTTCACAAGGTTTCTCTGCATAGACCTGGCTGTCCTGGAACTCAAATTGTAGACCAGGCTGGCCTCAAACTTAAGAGATCTGACTGCCTCTGCCTCCCAAGTGTTGGGATTAAAGAGGAGCACCACCACTGCCCAGGCTGGTCTTGAGCTTGTTACCCCCTGCCTCTGCCTCCTTAGCTAATCCTATGAGCATGCACCACCACAACCACCCTAAGCCCATCAGCTTAATTCTTCCTATACTCATCTGCTTTAATCCGTCATTGAGCCCTAACATACCTAGAAAATGTTTCAAATTCATCTCTACTTTCGTAGTCCAGTTATCTCTCACCAAATTGGTTGCTAGAAGTCAACACAATTTCAAGTGTGTGACACAAAATTGATTAAAAGGAACAATGTTCACCTAGCTAGCATGCACAGGACCCTGAATTCAACCCCCAGAACTGCAACAGCAAAAAAATGTCTTATGTCTTTTTGAGACAAGGATTGGAGACACAAGTCTCACTGTGCAGCCCAGGAAGGCCTTGAATGTACAATCCTCTTGCCTCAGTTTTCCAAGAGGGGAGATGGAACGAAACCTTTAAATGACATGTACGCATGGTGGCTTACAACTGTAGTCCCAGTAGGGAGATGCAGATATGAAGCAGCAGGAGGATCACTCCAAGTTTGAGACCAGCCTGGGCTCTGTAGTGAATTCCAAGCCAACCTGGACTATAGAATAACAACCTGCCTCAAAAAAACAAAACAAACAAAGCCAGGTGGTAGAGGCACAAAACAAAACAAAGATTTGAGCAAAGGGACATATAGATGTAATTTGTTGTACTGGCCTGGCCAAATTAGTTGTAAATGACATTTGGCTCACTAAATAAATATGGTATGGCTATCAGACTGGCTCTTGACCCCCACCCCCACCCCAAGGAAATTACTAAAGATAGACCTTATTAACTTAACTTTTATAACAATTTTATAAAACTAACTTTTACTCACTGAACGACTGAGCTATGGTTCAGCGAGTAAAACCATTTACTGCCAGATCTGGCGGCCTGAATTCAATCCCCTAAACCCACAGTTCAAGAAACAACTCCTGCAAGCTATCTTCTGACCTCCATACTCAACAACCACAGACATACCCACAAAATATAATACATATACACATAAATGTAAAAAAAAGATTACAAATAGGAAGCCAGGCATGCTGGCACACACCTGCAATCTCAGCATTCAGGAAGCTTAGGCAAGAGGTCAGTTTGAATTCAAGGATAGTCTGGGACACACAACAAAACCTTGTCCTAAAAGAGTCAGGCATAGTGGTATATGCTGCTGAGAGCCTTTATCATTTATTACAGAAGTAGAAATTAATATTCTAGGTGTCAATCCATCAGAACTAACTTCTGATGGAGAACACTTGGCTTGCAAGGTCTACAAGAAATACAGACACCAGAATATCTGTTATTTCTGCCTGTAATTATAAATGTGTTAATTGCATTCTCTCTCTAGCCTGTATCTATGTGTGTGTGTTTCATAAATACATTCCCTTAGTCAAGAAGATGAAATAGTATACTGGGTGTCTTGTATTCTCGAGAACAGCCCCAGAGAAAAGGAATTTTTTTCACTGAGGTGTCGTGGGGTGGGGGGTGAGTAGGAACAAAGCTTGGCCCTGGATTTTACACTACATAGCTCCTTCCTCTATTTACTCTTTTCAGAAATACCTGGCACTTCACAGCCACACCCTCTCTGAGACATTAGCAAGATAACTGGTGCCCTGAAAAATGCATGCTTGGTATTCTTGCTATTGCCAGAGATTGCTAATTGTATCTGTGTGGCTATATAAACCGGAAACTTTGTGGGATCAAGGAGAACTTTTGAAGAATGAAGACACAGAAGACCCTACCTCAAAAGTAACTTTTTGCTTTTATTTTTCTAAATTTCTATAATGCACACTACCACTTTTTCAGGATTTTTCTGTGTAACAGCCATGGAACTTGTTGTAGACTAGACTGGTCTCGAACTCATGGAGATCCACTTGCCTCTGCCTCCTGAGCACTGGGATTAAAGGTGTACACTACCACACCTGACTCACTTTACCACTTCTATAAAGGTTATTTAAAAAGTAAACTATAAAGCTGTGTATTGTAGTACACATCTCTAAGCCCAGCACTTGAAAAGATAACGAAAAAGAAAGATTGAGGCCAACTTGGTCTCGCCTCAAAACTCCAGCCCCCAAGAATAAATTTAAATTATATGAGCACAACATGTGTATATAAATGACAACACTGTACTATATTCATAAAAATTAGATGATTTGGTTTTTCTTAAAGGTAAAGAGTTAGATATGATGACGCATAACTTTAATCCCAGCACTAAGGAGGTAAAGACAGACAGATCTCTGAGAGTTCAAGACCACTGTGATCTACAAAGAGTTCCAGGCCAGTCAGGACCACAGAGAGGGACTGGTGAAATGGCTCAGTGGATAAAGGTGTTTGTCTGACAACCAGTTTGATTCCTAGGATTCCATGGATGAGAGAATTG